GCGGGGGGGGGGGGGGGAAGTGTTGGGGTTTTTTTCCATGCAACTTGAGGGCTTCCAACTGTGCTCCAGGTCCCAGCTCCAGCTCTGCCTCTTGTCTGGGCCTCATGTTTTCAGTGAATGATTTGCCAGGGCAGCAGGTGTCAGAGCTCCTGGCACCGCCTGGCGAGGCCCTAAGTAGTGAGAAATGATCCTGGGACCATGAGCTCAACCTCCTGGTCAAGAGAGGCTGAAAGCCAAGAGCTTCAACACAGCCCAACACCAGCAAGACACAAAGTCCTCAGGTTGGAAAGGAGCTCTGGAGTTCACCCAGGGCCACCCCTGGAGAGCAGGGTCACCTCCAGCAGATCCCACAGGAACCAGCTGGGCTGGGAATGTCTCCAGAGCAGGAGACTCCACAGCCTCTCTGGGCAGCCTGGCCCAGGGCTCTGCCACCCTCCCAGGAAACAACTTCCTCCTCCTGGGGAGCTGCAGCTTCCCATGTTCCAGCTGGTGCCCATGGCCCCTTGTCCTGGCCCTGGGCACTGCTGAGAAGAGCCTGGTCCCCCCCTCCTGCCCCCCTGGAGATCTGGAGCAGCCTTGAGGAGACCCCCCCTCAGGCTCCTCCTCTCCAGCTCCACAGCCCCAGCTCCCTCAGCCTTTCCTCATGGGCCAGATGCTCCAGTCCCCTCAGCCCCTTGGTGGCCTTTGCTGTCCCCTCTCCAGCAGCTCCTTGTCCTTCTGGGGAGCCCAGCCCTGGACCCACTTCTCCAGATGGGCCCTCACCAGAGGGGCAGGAGAACCTCCCTGCCCTCCTGCCCACACTCTCCTTGGTGCCCCCCAGGATTCCATGGACCTTCTTAGCCACCAGGGCCCATTATTCCCTCATGGTCACCCTGTTGTCCCCCAGGACCCCTGAGTTCCCTGGTGCCCATAGCCCTTTGTCCTAGCCCTGGGCACTGCTGAGAAGAGCCTGGTCCCCCACTCCTGCCCCTCCTGGAGATCTGGAGCAGCCTTGAGGAGACCCCCCCTCAGGCTCCTCCTCTCCAGACAAGGAGAAGGAAGAACCTTTCTCCAGCACCAGGGCTTGTCCCTTTCCACCTCTTTGTCCCCAGCAAGCCTTGGAGCATGACGGACATAGGGAATTCTCCTGGAAAAGGACACAGGGCCCAAACCCAAGTCCTCTAGGAACTTTCAGTGTGACCCCAGGGAGGTTTGGAAATGTCCCACCAACCTTTCCAGGCCCTATTGCTTTTCTGAGGACTGAAGAATGGATCCTCATCGAATCATGGAATGGTTTGGGTGGGAAGGGACCTTAAAGACCATCTAGATCCCACTGGGGGGAGGATCCCTCAATGGTTGGTGACCCTCCTGAAGGTGTCTCTTCCCACCCTCGCTTTGGACTGAGTATGGAATGCTTGGAATGTGTCTGAAATGCCCTGAATCTGATAGTTTTATCTCCAAATCTTCTCCAGTTGTCCCAGTGTCCCAGCAACTACCAGGCTGTCCACACAGAGATTTCCCATGAGGGGGCAAGAGTGTTGGCCCTTGGCTACAAAGAACTGGGCCACCTCACCCACCAGCAGGTAGGTCTGGCTGAGCCCTCTCATCCAGCTCCTCTGATGGTTTCATGAGCTGGATCTTCTGGGAAGGTGGAAGTTGTGCTTCCTCAGCCCTCCCGTCCAGTTCCTCTGGTGGTTTCATGAGCTGGATCTTCTGGGAAGGTGGAAGTTGTGCTTCCTCAGCCCTCCCGTCCAGTTCCTCTGGTGGTTTCATGAGCTGGATCTTCTGGGAAGGTGGAAGTTGTGCTTCCTCAGCCCTCCCGTCCAGTTCCTCTGGTGGTTTCATGAGCTGGATCTTCTGGGGAGGTGGAAGTTGAGAAGGAGCAAATGGAAGAGAAGATTGTTCCTCGTGACACTTGGTTTGATGGTTTCTTCTGGCAGGGCAGAGACATAAAGAGGGAAGATCTGGAGTGTGACCTGAGGTTTGTGGGATTCATAGTGGTTTCCTGTCCCCTCAAAGCTGACTCCAAATCTGTCATCAGGGAGATCCAGAATGCATCACACCATGTAAGAATGTGGAGAAGGGGCTGGAGGACAAGGGGAAGGGGCTGGAGGACAAGGAGAAGGGGCTGGAGGACAAGGGGAAGGGGCTGGAGTACAAGGGGAAGGGGCTGGAGGACAAGGAGAAGGGGCTGGAGGATGAGGAGATGGGGCTGGAGAACTTGTGAGGAGCAGCTGAGGGAGCTGGGGGTGTCCAGCCTGGAGAAGAGGAGGCTGAGGGGAGACCTTCTGGCTCTGCAACTGCCTGGAAGGAGGTTGGAGCCAGGGGGGTCGGGCTCTGCTCCCCAGGACAAGGGATGGGACCAGAGGAACTGGCCTCAAGTTGCCAAGGGGAGGTTGAGGTGGGATCTGGGGAACAATTCCTGCCTGGCAAGGGTTGTCAGGGCCTGGCCCAGGCTGCCCAGGACAGGGGGGGAGTCCCCATCCCTGGAGGGGCTTCCAAGCCCTGCAGATGGTGCTGAGGGACATGGGGCAGTGGTGGCCTTGGCAGGACTAGGGGTCATGGTTGGACTGGATGATCCTCAAGGTCTTCTCCAACAAAACAGATTCCATGATTCTGTCTCCTGGGGGATGTCACCAGGATCCAAGGTGGATAGGAACCCTTCCAGCCCACAGAAGACAGGTTCTGAGGTGCTGCTTCTCCACCTGGGACTTATTTTTCTGTCCCCTCTTTCCCACCAGGTAGTGATGATCACAGGGGACAATCCTCTCACCGCCTGCCACGTGGCCCGGGAGCTCCACTTCTTCCAGAGGGAGCAAACCCTGATCCTGCAGCCTCCTGGGACCAAAGGTGACCAACCCCACCCAGGACACCCTGCTAGGACAGCTGGGAATGTTCAGCTGGAGAAGGAGAAGGGAGACCCTGGAGAACCTTCCAGTGCCTGAAGGGGCTCCAGGAAAGCTGGGGAGGGACTTGGGAGTGATGGGACATGGGGGGATGGCTTGAAGCTGGAACTGGGGAGATTGAGATGAGATGCTGGGAAAAAATGAGGGTGGGGAGACCCTGGAAGAGGTTTCTTGGAGAAGTTGTGGCTGCCCCATCCCTGGAAGTGTCCAAGGACAGGTTGGATGGGGCTTGGAGCAACCTGGGCTGCTGGGTGGTGGCCCTGCCCATGCAGAGGGGTGGGTTTGGGTGGTCTTTAGATCATGGAATGGTTTGGATTGGAAAGGACATTTTGAGGACCATCTAGATGTTCCACTAGATGGTCTTCAAGGTGGTTCCTCCATCCCTGGAAGTGTCCAAGGGCAGGTTGGATGGGGCTTGGAGCAACCTGGGCTGCTGGGAGGTGTCCCTGCCCATGATGGGGGTTGGATCTAGATGATCTTAGAGGTCCCTCAAACTAAAACCATTCCATGATTCCATGAAATTCTTCACTCTGAGGATGAGGAGACCCTGCAATAGGTTTTCCAGAGAAGTTGTGGGTGATGGAAGTGTCCAAGGGCAGGTTGGATGGAGCTTGGAGGAACCTGGGCTGCTTGGAGGTGTCCCTGCCCATGTAGGAGGGTGGGACTGGATGATCTTTAAGGTCCTTCCCATCCAAACCATCTGTGTCTTGATTCTTCTGGGTCTAGCAGCCCAACCCCAGCTGAGATGTCCTATCAGATCTCACCACCTACTGCTGGTGCTGCTGCTTGATGCTGATGAAGGAAATGAGGTCCCAGAACCCCAAGAACCCTTTGTCCTTTTTTCTCCTCAACTTGGAGTGTTGTCCAAGCTCTTGATGATCCTCAGCCAGCTCCTAACCTGAGCTGAGCACCAAAAGAAGCAAAACAAGGGCAGGTTGAGGTCTCCTTGCTGCCCAGAGGCCACCCAAGGGAAGCCAAGCTCCATGTCTCTGACTTCAGGGAAGGAGAATCCATGGAAAAACTGTCCCTGGGTGGGAGGTGACATGTCCCTCTTCTTGGGAAGTGTGTCCCTAGTGCTGAGGAGCTGCAAAAACCAGGGTCAGGGTGTGGTGGGAATGTTCCTCACCTCCCAGATGTCCTGGTGTCCAGCTCCTGTGTCCTTTCCAGGCTCCAGTTGGCAGTGGAAATCTGTGGATGGGACTGTGGTGCTCCCAGTGCTTCCCAGTTCCCTGGGGGAGCTGACCCAAAGCTATGACCTCTGTGTCACTGGGGAAGGTCTCTCTTACCTCCAGTCTGGGGACAAGGAGCAGCTCCTGAAGCTCATCCCACACATCCAGGTCTTTGCCAGAGTGGTGCCAAAGCAGAAGGTGAGAGATCCCAGGTGGTGGGAAAACCCAGGTGATGGGAAAACCCAGGTGGTGGGAAGACCCAGGTGGAGCTCAAGATGCTTCCAACAAAGCAGCTTCACCTCTTCCCATAACCAAGAAGCAGGAAGCAGAGCTTGGGATGTGCCACCTGGTTGTCCTCAAGAGTCCTGAGCCCCTTGGCCAGCTGGACATGAGCCAGGGTGTGCCCAGGTGGCCAAGAAGGCCACCAGCATCATGTCTTGTGTCAGCAGAGTGTGGGCAGCGGCAGCAGGGCAGGGATTGTCCCCCTGTGCTGGGCACTGGGGAGGTGACACCTCAAAGCCTGGGGACAAGTTTGGGTGAGGAAAGGGACATTGAGGGGGTGGAGAGTGTCCAGGGAAGGGCAGTGGAGCTGGGGAAGGGGCTGGAGAAGATGGAGGAGGAGCTGGAGAGCAAGGAGAAGGGGCTGGAGGACAAGGGGAAGGGGCTGGAGAACTTGTGAGGAGCAGCTGAGGGAGCTGGGGGTGTCCAGCCTGGAGAAGAGGAGGCTGAGGGGAGACCTTCTGGCTCTGCAACTGCCTGGAAGGAGGTTGGAGCCAGGGGGGTCGGGCTCTGCTCCCCAGGAACAAGGGATGGGACCAGAGGAACCGGCCTCAAGTTGCCCAGGGGAGGTTGAGGTGGGATCTTGGAAACAATTTCTCCCTGGCAAGGGTTGTCAGGTCCTGGCCCAGGCTGCCCAGGGCAGGGGGGGAGTCCCCATCCCTGGAGGGGTTTCCAAGCCCTGGAGATGGTGCTGAGGGACATGGGGCAGTGGTGGCCTTGGCAGGGCTGGGGGTCATAGTTGGACTGGATGATCCTCAAGATCTTCAAGGTCTTTTCCAACCTTCATGTTTCTGAGATTCCATGATCCTCACTCTGCTCCAGAGACAACCTGAGGTTGGATGTGGATGTGAGGGCAGGAAGTCCTGTAGAGCAGGGTCACTCCTGACCAAGCTGTCCCACCTAGCCCAGGCTGTGGGAGATAAGACCACATAGGTCCCACCAGACTTATTTTTGGGTCCTTGTTGCAGGAATTTGTCATCACAACCCTGAAGAGCCTGGGCTATGTCACCCTGATGTGTGGGGATGGGACCAACGACGTTGGAGCTCTGAAACATGCAGATGTGGGTGAGTCCCCTGGGCCACCAACTTCAGTTTGGCCATTGTCCCCCTAAACACAAAGTCAGGGTTGGTTCCTCTGGGGTTTTGAGGGCCCTGGTGGACAACAGGGTGACCATGAGGCATCAACAAGAAGGCTCCTGGAGGTGGGTCAAGAAGAGACACTAGAACAGGTTGGCCAGGGAAGTTGTGGTTGCCCCATCCCTGGAAGTGTCCAAGGGCAGGTTGGATGGGGCTTGGAGCAACCTGGGCTGCTGGGAGGTGTCCCTGCCCATGGTGGGGTTGGATCTAGATGACCTTGAAGGTCCCTTCCCACCCAACCCATTTCATGACCCTCTGAGAGTGGTCAGGAGGTCAGGGAGGTTCTCCTAGGGGACAACAGGGTGACCCTGAGGCAGCAACAGGCCCTGGTGGCCAAGAAGGCCCATTGGCTCCTGGGGGGGGCACCAAGGAGAGTGTGGGCAGGAGGGCAGGGAGGTTCTCCTGCCCCTCTGGGGGACACACATCTGGAGAACTACCCAGAACATCATTCTGTCCCCTGAAGATGTTGACCCAGACCAAGTTCTGACCCCTGAGGGACACCACTTACCTCAGGCTTCCATCTCAACCCTTCTCCATTGACCACAACCCCCAGAGCTCCACCAACTAAGGAGCTCCTGACCCACCTCATTATGATTTGATGATTCTAATTGAAAAAATAACAAGAGGTCTCCAAACCTTGAGCTGGAACTCACCTCTCCCAAAGGCTCCCAGATCTCCTCCAGCTTTTGCTGAGCTGCAATCACTGAACTGAGAAGCCAGAGACTCAAAATCTTCTTCTCCTGACTTGATCTTCTGGATGTAACCTGGAAAAAAAAGGAATCAATCCATCAGGAAGGGAAAAAAAAGAGGATAAAACACCCCAAAACCACCTCAAATCTGACCAAGAAGGACAAAAAAAACTCCACGTCTATCTCCAAACCTTCTGGATGATGAAAGAAACTTGAAGAACAACCCAAAAAATGCACCAAAACCTTCTCTTTTCTTTCCAAGGTTTTTTTCATCTGGTTTAATTTAAGCTTCAATTCAAAGAAAAATCCAATTATTGCACCTTCTCCTGCCCCTGGAGCACAAGAACTTCTTAGTGGGCTTCAAAACTCAGGAGGAACTTGGGGTTTCAAGAAGGTTTGGTGGGAATTCAGGTCCAAAAAACCTTCCCAGGAGTGAATGAATTGTCCAAAAAAAGCTTTTTGAAAAGGTGAAGTGAAAACTATTTTAAGTCTTCAGATCATCTAACCCTGCTCTGAACCTTCCTGGAAGGTTCTTGGAGAGGAAGGGTGAGAATCAGAGCATGTTGGGGGTTGGAAGGGACCTCTGGAGATCACTGAGTCCAGGAACACCCAGGATCGTGGCCAGATGGGTCTTGGAAGCCTCCAGAGCAGGTGACTCCACAGCCTCTCTGGGCAGCCTGGCCCCGTCTGGAGATATGTTGGGAGAGTTGAGGGTGTCCAAGTGGAGAAGGTTCCAAGGAGACAATCCCAGGGAGAGTTGGGGTGTCCAAGTGGAGAAGGTTCCATGGAGACCTTGGAGATGATTCCAGAGAGAGTTGGGGTGTCCAACTGGAGAATGTTCCTTGGATAACCTTCCAACACCTGAAGGGGCTCCAGGAAAGCTGGGGAGGGACTTGGGCCAAGGGCAGGAGTGATGTGACCAGGGGGGATGGCTTGAAACTGGAACTGGGGAGATTCTGATAGAGATATTGGGAAAAAATGAGGGTGGGGAGACCCTCGAGGAGGTTTCTTAGAGAAGTTGTGGGTGATGGAAGTGTCCAAGGGAAGGTTGGATGGGGCTTGGAGCAACCTGGGCTGCTGGGAGGTGGCCCTGCCCATGGATCTAGATGATTTTTGAGGTCCTCCCCACCCAAAGCATTCCATGATCCTATGAAAACAAGGATTCCTGCTCCATGTCCTGAAGCATCAGAATGGGTTTTGGGCACAGAAGATGCTGCTTCACCAGGTGGCCACCAAGTTCATGAAGGTTTCTCAGCTTCACCTCTGAGCAGGAGTGTGGGAGAAGATGGTGTAGGGTCCTTGATCCAGGTTGGAATAACAAGATGTGATCTGGGTCTTTCTGTCCTTCTCCAGCAGGAACGGATCAGTCAGGTCTTGAAGGACCTGGAAGAGGAACGTGTCCCCGTGGTGAAGCTGGGAGATGCCAGCATTGCTGCCCCCTTCACCTCCAAGCTCTCCTCCATCCACTGCAGTGAGTGAGAGGAACTCTTGGTGTGTCTCCATCTCTCCCAAGTTTCCTGAGGGAAACAACTCATGGATTTGGAACAAACCAAGACAGAGGACATTGGGATGGGGAAGGAATGACCCCAGACCTATGGTTTGATGAACCTCAAAGTCCCCTGAGAGGTTCTGGGATGGGGACACAAGCAGGGAGGGGTTAACTGGGAATCCTGGAATAGTTTGGGTTGGAAAAGACCTTGAAGATCACCCAGTCCAACCATGATCCCCAGCCCTGCCAAGGCCACCACTGCCCCATGTCCCTCAGCACCATCTCCAGGCCTTGGAAGCCCCTCCAGGGATGGGGACTCCCCCCCTGCCCTGGGCAGCCTGGGCCAGGCCCTGACAACCCTTGCCAGGCAGGAATTGTTCCCCAGATCC